AGACACATTACTCACTGCATTTTCCTTGTAAGAGTATCCCGTATTCAGTATCCAGTATGCAGTATTAGTCTGCTTTTCAATTCTCCAATTCAGTCAACAGTTAGCTTACAATTCTATCGCAACCTTCTTGGTCGTTCTTGCAAATAAAGTTGGTAACAACGCTGAATCAATACTGACTCTCATGACGACCCTATACACGTTTAGCAGCAAAATGACAAACCATCAACGGTGGAAGGTGTCAGTTTTATTTCATACTATGTGTTTTCCATCTTCTGTTTCATCACTTTCGTTATTTTTGCTCCCTCCTCTACATTTTTCGCGGGACCCTTTATCCTCGCGATGGCCGAGCACACCACCAGCAGGCGTGAACTCAGCGATTTCACAAAACCATGAAATCCGAGTCGGCAGAAGGCGGTCGAGAGAACTGGAACACTGTCTTGCACTGTAATACTTTTCAAATTGGGCAGGATCGATTAACAGGCCCAAATTTTTTCCCTTAAAAAATAGTGTATATGGGAATTTGTCGCCAAATCCTCAAACCAGAATCTTTCAAGGAAATTGCCCAACCCAGCAACAAGCGATTTCTAACTGGAATTGGCCGATCCGAAATATTAGTTCTGAGATTTGGCCGGCCCAAGGTTTACGTTAAAAATTAATTACAGCTATTGAGTAACGCTAACATAAATCTTGTGAACATGGCCTTACATTCTCGCCATTGTACATGATTCAATTAAATTTGATTTGCAATGAACAAAACCGTAGGAAGCCTTTTTTAAAATTTAGGCTGCAAAAAGTTGTGAAAACTGGAGTGGAACCGATGGGAAATTTTCAGAGGGTTCACATAGCGTCCAACATACTGCTTCACAAAACCTCACGAGGGTACAAGAGCGTGATAAATTAATTTCTCAAAATTACCACTTCTTGCTTTCCACTACTCCCCTTAAAATCTTTCCAGTAGGTAAATATTAACTTTTTTGTTTAGAAATAACCCCCTGTACACCAACAAATGAGCACTAGTGTACCAAGTACAGAGGTGGCATTTCCAGGGGTCTCGCAGAGCAAATCAAACGAAAGGTCATTCTGCCATCTTTCTTCTTTTGTTAATTTTTTGGAAGGATAAAATTTTCCTCCAAAGCTGAAAAATTCCTCTAAAACTCTCAAGTAGGGCCAGTGGCAGATCAAGCGAAATGTGGTGGGGTGGGTGCATTCGTGTCTGGTTTTGAATGCTCGTGTCCACATTCTGTGTACATAAATCCCTCGATTTTCTGTATAAAACTGTCATTCATTCAACAAAATGTGAAAGTAATTTGCAATTTATAAACTTCACGCATTGTTGAAAGCACTATTTTGTTTCCTTCATCAAACATTTCAACGTGCTCACATGCATTTCACAGACATTACTGTACCAATACTGTTGGAAAATACTATGCATGGCGTGATCACAATTTGCAGACCTTTTTTCTGTTTACATTCTAGTTTACTCCAAATTTGAATGGATTATCATTATTTAGGACTTCATCTCTGTATTCCTAACTTTCCCATAATCAGTGCTGACTGTACGTTTCCATCCTGTAAACAACAACCTTCCCAGAAGTCACAAGGATATCACAATAATTACTTTTTCAAATTTTATTCATCAGCCCGTTTCCACACATTTAAACACACTCACAAACCCCCAAGAGTTACCATTAATAATTGTCTTGAAAAGAGTACAGATCTTTTAAAAGTGTTTGCAACATAATACTCATTGAAAAGTAAGTCTTACGATGAAGCAGATACTCTGTATATTACTATAAAATGCAACAAAAATATGATATATTTGGTATTATTTAAAATTCATGAAAATACTTTTGGACAGTGTACATAGTACACACAATATAAAATACAATAAACCTATTTGAATTTAGCATTTTGTGTAGTTTTATACTGAGAATAAGTAGAGCACTATTCAAAACCATGCTGGTAGTTTTCTCTTTAGCTGCATGCCAGAATGGGACCAATTCAGGTTCCAAATGAAAAAGATCAATAAAAATGGTCCTTATTATGAAGAATGCCTTGGGAAATTTGTCGTCTCAATTTTTAACTCCCTAGTATAAGCTGAAAAAGATTAAGGAAGAATTTGTTATGGTGTAAAACTGTTAAAGATAATCACATTTCTGAAAATCATTATCAGGCATGTGGAGAATTTTCAAAGGTAGTTTTAATGTGCAACACTAATTATTATTAAAAAGTTAAGGTCACAATGGTTACTATTATCAAAAAAACCATTGTGACCTTAACTTTTGGAAAAAAAAACAACAATAAACTAAAATAACCATGAAAATAACCTCCCCCTCCCGATTTTTTATAAAAATAATGAAAATCATCTGGCATCAATCAATATTGCAAGCAACCATTTACATTAGGGCTTTTAGCCCAGGGTGTTTCATACTAGGCCTACTAGGCTTTGGATTTAAAATATCAGAGCTTGCTTGGGGAGTCGTTTATCATATTTTTTTCATAAATTGCTGCTTAGAATTTTACTTTACAAGTCATTCCATATTTCGATTTCAAATGAATTCAGAAAAGCAGATTATGATACAAACCATGCGTTACTTTTATGGGGATATTATTTCTCTTCTCAAAAATACGTCTGACCCTGACCCACTCCACAGATGAAAATATGCAACAAATGAGCAAACTTGTAAACAAACAGTTCAAACACATTATTGAAACCATATTGTTTACAAACAAAAAGAGAAAATAACCAAAGAATTCGACGTTCGTGAGGAAGATGTTAAGGCTGCAGGATGCCTCCAGCTCTTTCCAATTTCCATATTTAAAAATCATCAAACCTGTAAAGCCATATCTGAATCACTTGGCTACAGCTTGAATTTACACACAACTAAATGAGTAGTGGCTGCAGCCATTACCCAGAGTTGTGTGTAATTTCAAAGCCACGGCCAGGTATTTTAGACACAGCCTAACAGTAATTGATCCTCAAACTGTTTGGGGATTTTGGCCTACATGTGTTACACTTAACATCTGCCATGACAAATTTAATATTAACTAAACTGGTCAAGGCAAATGGGTCGTGCTTATTTTGTAAAAAAACAAGTCTTTCTAATTAATGTGCAAAGGCATTCACCTTACTTGATTACATATCATTTTTCTATTACAAACTTTTTTTCACTCCTGCATATCTAATCAAAGCATACTTGTATTTTACAAAACTTCTATATTCATGAAGTAACGACAAAACAGCCTATTCAGAAAGCACATTCAAACATTACACGCAAGACCCAAAAACACAGATACGGTGCTTACATTCAGTCATGGTGATCTTTGGAATTAAGATCACGTTTTACAAAACCTTGCATCACTTCATTTCAAGACTACTAGGGTGACCTCAGTTAGAATGCCATTAATGCTGGTAAACACTTGGCATGAATGAAAATGCAAAGTTTGTGATGTCAAGACAAATATTCATTGAATTTCTTACACTGAAAATGTGAACAGCACTAAAAACACCAAGTTTATATTCTTGTTGGCTTTCCCGCTAAATACGAGCGGGCCTTTACAGGGAGAAACCTTCCTTGCATGATGCACATACACACTCACACATCCTTCCACACACACCCACAAGTTATAGCCTGCAAAATTGCACTTGTGCATCAAGATGTAACACATATTGACATATTCCTACATATTAGCAATTGCAGCGTTACAGACGAGTTGCAGTTAGTAGACAGAGTCCATGACTTGAGACACTGCAAGAAACACAGAAGATTTGACCAAAACAAAGGAGAACAAAACGGGAGAATAAAGGATGAAACATATGACATACCCCCTCCCCCCATAAACTTCAAACCCTGTCAAAGGTGTGTGAGGTACCATCTCTGCAATGGCTTGTAACTGAGGTCACCACATTAAGCTAAGAATTTACAGAATACATTATTTAAAAACAGCAAAGTGAGTCAGAGTTTCCCTGCGCCGCTGTCAAGAGCACTGTATTATTTAAAACTACTATTATTGCAATAGTTGCTTTCAAGTACGGAACTTAAGTTTCTGACACAGGCACTTTTGGGTCAGTCACTTCTCAATCTGCTTACCTGTTGTCAGCTTCATCTTGAGGAAAAATGATGTAAAAAAATGGAAATTGAGTAAGGCAGGCTCAGCAAATAAGGACTCAACCAGTGTTGTAGTCGAGTACTTTCCGAGTACCAACGTTCTCCGCAAAATACTGAACTGGGTATGACGGAATAAAGCCAGAGTGCACAGGCATTTGATGGTAAATGTGCAAAGGTAAGATTACAAAATAAATGTTAGACTTCAGACACTCCCCGTTGTGTAAAATTTAAGTTTTGAGGAGAAAAGTACTTGGAAGGTACTCTGCCAAGTACTTTTGTCCTAAAAAGTTAATTTTAGTCAAACAGTGATGGTCTGAAGTCATTATATTGCTTTGTAATCTTACCTTTATGCATGTACCA